TATCCCAAAGTCACTAGTGAGCAAAGTCTTGAACTAGGACTACTTAGAGGATATAGGAGACCATATTACACACATTATAATCCAGGTGTTAATTTGAGCTTGTTAAGCTAGCACATTACGGCCTTTGTGCCTAATCTTGGTATTCATGGATGATCTAGAGAATAGCCCTATTCTCATAGGAGCAGCCCCACTCCGACATCCATATAGGTGAAATTTGTCAAGGATGCTCCCATAACTAAGACACCCCACTCTATAAGTTACAAATTTCATTAAGAGTATAAAACTCAACCCTCAATTCGTTATGGGATCGATGCATCCTCACCTTAGGAATGGGACTGAAAATTTTTTCCGTTAAATATTGATACATCTTTCAACAACGACTTCTCTATGATTCGTTTTTCCTATTCGAAACCCAATTCTTAAAATTCGGGTTGGGTATCCTCATAAGACGTTCTACATTATTGGGCTTGAATCCCATTCCCCTCGATGAGCACTAGACCTTGGACTATGATCATAGATTTTCCTCCAACTTTTGTTTTTGCCAAAGGCCTAGTTGGTGGTATAGTGGGTAATGAAGAGATTTAACTCATTCTTATTCTCACTTTTTCACATCAACCCACTTGTCTGCTAGCTCATAAAATTCACATTCGTATTTCTCAAATTCTCAATTCATGGTATCACAATTTTTGATATCGAGCTAGTGAACCACCTTTTTCTTTCCATACATGTCAAAACATGTTTTTAAGAATTTTTAACTCAAACACCATTATACCTTTTTGTACAATAGGAATGTCCATCACATACCCCTTTTCTCAAGTGCCTTATTATTATTTTTTTCATCATACACCATTATACTATAATTGTATAATAGGAATGCATATCACATTTATTTTGTTAAGCACCATTATACCTATAATAGGAGTACATATCACATTTACTTTCTTAAGCACCATTACATCATATTGTATAATAGGAATGCTATGCAAAATCTCAATTAGGCATCATTGGTCTCATCACCAATGATAATATATAGGGATATCACAATCCCCCACATTAAGAGCATCTCAAATATGTAATTTTTCACATTTATCAAATAATTGAGTTCATGAAGAAACTCATTTTGCTCACAAGTTTTTTATAAGAGCATATTTGCTCATCTCACTTTTCATCGCCACAAAAGGGTCCTTGGTCACGCAAGCTTAAAGAAAAAATTAGCTTACATTTCCAAAATTGTTGCATGGACGAAATTGGGTAGCTCTCTTCTTTAGTCTTTTCACTTGGTCAAAATTTTCATAGACCATTTTCCATGGTTTCTAAATGAGTAAGACAACACAGCATTCACTAAAGATTTATCAGAGAGCAAAAATAATCAACTAACAAAATATATGATTATAAAAAATATTTTATACATAATGGCATAACCAATGCACTTAATATTTTACTAGTCGTTGGAGTTAAATCACATTCATGTTGAAATTTATTAGCTGCAAATACAACTCCTTAAAGATTGCATCATGGCATAATAGTTTCACATGCTAGGTAATTTTTTTTTATTCTTTTTTTTCCTTTTACTATTGAAAATATCTCACAAATTAAGAGTACGACAGTAGCAAAAGGAGCACATATCTACACGCATTAAATTCATAACAATTTCCATTTATGATATTTCAAGCCGTTGGAAATTAAACAAACCAATAATATCATTAAGCTCCAACACGTCATGATAAAAATATTTATATTCATTTGCAAGAGTAACATATGAAAGTAATTGGGTTAACACTATATTTTTTTTTTATTCACATGCCATTAAAATAAATAATCTACCATTCAAGCATGTGCTAATAATCATATTAGGATCTAAGAACTCATACATTCGGTCGACAAATTAATAGGATTTTTCTCATTCAGGACATATGCTAAATTTAACAAATTAAGATAATATAAAATTTTTCCTTTCCATCTTTTGAAATGCTCACCATTAAAACGAAAAGGCATGTTAAGATCATTAGCGAGCTTAACAAGTTTTTCACGAGGTAAACTCATTTTTTTTTTAAAGAATTTTTCTACGAAACGTCCTAAAATTGTTGATTGATCCACGCCTCAGCTCAAGCTCCTCATACTTTTTGTGACATCTTTCTACTTTTTATTTTCATCTTTAATTAATTGTCTTTTGCTATTCTTTTGTCTATTTTCTTTTTGTTTATTTTTTACGAGGAACAACACAAGGAGGCCATCCTGAGCTCTATGCATTTTG